TGCTGGAGTTGTTGAGTTTCTGCTTAATCAGACGCCGTATAAAGTGCGGGCCCAAAACAGGAGTTGACTTGGCTGAATCTTCTACTCTGCTGCAATCGTATGGTCGCCCGCAACTGCTCAGAATAGATTATGGTGAAAGCATTTTGAAAATTTTCTCGTTAAGCCGTGAGTGAAACAGCCAGCTTTTGGATCCGATTAAGAATACAGGTAACGAGAAAACCAATAAATTCTCTGTGAGGTTACTAACAATTATTAGTAATACTAACAATTATTAGTAGAGTAGTAATTGTTCGTTCTACAGAATTTGTTTAAAAAAATCTGGCTGAAGTCGGCAGTAATGTAGCAACAAACTCGACTTAGCTAATGCGCTGGCTAGTTGTCTGAGCAGGAGCGATGCACTGGCCCTACGTCTGCATGAGCGCGTTAAGTTGGCTTTTCATCTGCGCGACAACATTGCGATGATTCGCCTTCACCGGCTGTGTGCGGATCTTCGGTTCAAGATTGTCTGTGAACGCTCAAATTTGAATTATTAAATGTTTGTTTTAAAAAATGCTAAAAAATTAATAGGTGTGACACAAATTACTCTGCAAAAGAGAGAATGGTAGTATAGTGGCGGCTCGTGGCTGGTTCTGTTGGTTATTTAAAGTCGTTATTTCTACCTTTCCACCCTTCCGATACTATGTTGTAGTCAGCTGAGAGTTTTGGAATCCATCGATGCCGAGCGGAATTACGGCTCCCCACCGTCGGCTGAGCATACCGTGGTGAAATTTCTATGCCCATCGAGGGATATGAGTAGTCAACGGCATCTGGCCGACATTCTTGATGCTAACACAAATGAAAGTGTTACGAAAGTACAACCGTTCAAAGTGTGAGCGCATTAACTGTGTAAATATCGTAGTTGCAGTGAATCGATAACGAAGCATACAGTATCAATTTACTACTTCCCACGTGAAAATTCACCTTCTGTCGTCTGCATTTGTTGTCTTTTTTGAACCTCTCCTATTTTACAGAGACGTTCCTAGTGAATATATGGCATTATGTAGCAAGAATATCTGTTAGCTCATCTTCATCTAAACATCTGGAAACTTTTTCAACAGCTACGATTATGCGATTCCTGTACCACTCCACATATTCGAGTTAACAGGCACTGAAATTCACATTCCAGGAATCAAACTGAAATTGTACTGAAAAATAAGGAGTTTCAGGCCCAGATGTACCACCTGCACCGGTGGAACAAGTAGCTGTAGCAGTACCAGCAACAACACCTGCACTTACGGCACCAGCACCTGCAACACCAGCAGCACCAACAGCATCAACGCCAGTAGCAACAACACCGACAACAACACCAACAATACCGACAACAACACCAACAACATCGACAGGAGCACCAACATCAACACCAACATGGGCACCAACAACAACACCAGTACAATCAACTGTGCCCGCAGAATCAGCACCAGCAGCAGCGCTAGAAGCGGAACAAGCAGCTGGTGCGAGCAAGCAGCAAACAAGAGGCGTGCTGGAAGATAAGGGAGGATACGATAATATGGTCGTCAGTGGGGATGAGAACGAATAGAGAGGTTCAAATCTTTTACCACACTTTTGCACTTGTAATCAAACGCAACCAATTTTCGTAAATCCTTTACCACGCTTCGCAGCAATTCCTAGCAGAAATAGTTGTGAACAGTTTTATAGGAGCGCGAAAAGAAAAGCGATAAGGATTTGGGCGCTTTTGCCAACTTCTTACCATTTTCTTACTCCACGATTAAGAAAGGCAGGTAAAGTAAATGCGACATATGGAGCTAGGCTTAAGGAACATGATCAGTTGAAAATCTAACCTTTCTACAAAAATTCGTATCTGAATCATATGGAAGTGAAGAAAGTAAAATGAACAAGCTATTAGACTGGGTGATGAACTTACAGATATTCCTTTCCACTCTTTTTGCTTTTTCAACCTCTGAGCTTCTATATACGGGATTTCTTCCCAACTAAATCCTTGCAAGGAGACTTCCCAAGTTTGTATCACGCAGTCTCATGTTTTTAACTCTGGCGCCAAAAATGTCGTAAAGGCTTTTTCATTTTCCCTTTCATTGGCTTCATTTGCTGCTTAAGCAAATGTTGCTTTTCTTAAGACGTTAATTCGTGTAAGTTGTCAATCAGTGCTGGTATATTTCCATCTTTAACAAACAACAGATTCTTTTTTGAGTACTCGTTTCTTGGCTCATTTAGTTCTCTCTCGGTCCGTTTTTATGCGTTTTTGCTGTGCAGCGCTATGGCGCTGCTACAGCGAGCAAAAGCGCATATTGTCGAGAGACACACATTGTCCATTTGTATTCGGTAACGAATGAAATTTATCACCCACTTTCAACTCAACAACCAGGAAAGCTGGAAGGCCTAAATTTTGGAAGCATGTTTCCACCCTATTTGTCACCCTCCCATTTTAAGATCTTCCCTCATACGTGCCTAGATCCCCCGTACAGATTTCCCAAAACTTATGCAGATTTCTTTGGTGAGAAAAAATTTTGGGAACCAGCAAGATAGGAAGCTGAAACTTTGCAGGGATATTTTATGAGCTTGTATGAGCTAAAGATTTCAAAAATAGCCATTACGCACGCTTGCACAGCGAGTACGGTTATGTAAAAGTTTGCACCTGGAACTGTTCCAACTCGAAAACTAGCCAGAAAATAGTGGCTGAAATTTTGTCAGAGTATTTATCACTCATATAGGAAATGGCATACGTAAACCGAGTTCCGATTTGCACCTGTGCCACAACTCAGGGCACTTCAAAGATATTTGTAGTAAAGTGGCTATTTCGCTCACTATTCAAGCCGTCGAGCTGGAACTTTGCAAGTTATTCTACAGTCATCAGTGGTATTAATTCAGGTTGAAGGGGAAATTCCATGCATGCACACATGACAAATACTATGGTAAAATCAAAAGCGAGTGCATTTTGCGGATTTCATAATCCTCCTCGGACTTGTTTCAAATTTGCGTTTTTCCAATGAAGGAGCATTCAGCGGATCAGCGGAAAAATGACCGGGCTTCATGCAGAAAACTAATAATCACGCATGGTGGAGGTCCATGCGGTCTCATAATGCAACATCATTCAGCTGATGCCTTCTCCCTTCCTGTGGAAAGTTGCCAAAATACAGCCAACATGAGACTAAGTGATAAAGTGGAGTGCAGGAACATTTTTGCTCTCAACGATTTATAAGTTTAGCGCAAAAAACATGATCGCACCGGCAAGCCTCGTGCGTTACAGCCTGGGTTCCCTTCTCAAATGCAGATTAACTGCACTCATTGTATTTTGCACTATCAAGATTCATGATAACACTTACGCTCGGGTGCTTCGATTGCCACTCGAAATAGATATCCTTCAGTTTCACTATTTACTATGCAAATGGTTTGTTCGTTGTTTAACCCAGTTCCGCTTCCCACTGCATTATAGAATTTATGTGCTGAGTGATGCTACTACTCGCAGAAATTGTTAAATAACCAGAAACATTTGCAGATTGACAAGGTGTTTACACGATGCGCAGTTTCACTTTTACTCCAGATGAAGCCCATTCTTCTCAAAGTATTGATGTTGCATTGTCACATATTTTGAAGTGTTAAAGATGAGCGTTATAATCAATGTTTTTGATAAAACTAAACTGTTTTGAGGAGACGTGCGAAACATCCAATTACTTCGACCGTTGGGACTTTCAGTGTGGTACCTTTGATGTTATTAGAACCCATCAAGCACCACCTAAATAAAAATGATGTGAGAGGCACGCATGGGCCTCGCACCAGAGAATTCCAAATATTTGACAATCTTAGTACTCTTTTATTCCATGATTAAACCGAACAGTAGATCGAAATTTTGTAAGAACATTTTTTACTCACTGCGAACCCAATAGCATAGAAAGAGTTCTACTTCCTCATGCAATTCGCGCATGGAGGTATGAGACTTTTAAATTGCGTCACTTCCATCACCCTTCTTTCTTCAGACAGACAAGGAAGCAAACCCAGGCTGGGACGCACCGGGCGGACCCGTGCGATCATGCCTTTTTGCACCGGACTTGAAGTATTCAGATCATTGACTGCATGAATGGCTTTGCTTTGTACCTACGTTTTGCGGTCACTGGCATAAATCACCATAAATTTTGCAAAGTAAATGTACAATTTCCACTTAACAGTCATTCTTTAAAAGGTTCACTAAGAATTTTTTTCGCCAAGTCATTTAACTGACCGAACGTAAGAACCATGCACACCTCAAGCTGAATCTGAAGTACTTAAGCTGTACTTAGACAGAGAACCTCAGCTTTCCAGCTTTTCTGATTATCGAGTTGGCGATTTTGCCTCCAAAACCTTCACATACCCGTACGTGGATACTCCATGTGTCTGGAGAGCTGAATTTGAAATTTTTAAATTGCACTTGGACAGAGAATATCCCCTTAAAATTTTAGCCTTCCA